GGGGGTTCGGTTCTCCAAGTCTGTGATCCCTGGCGGGGGGCTCTCCAAGTCTGTGATAAAGGGCAAGAACCAGACCCTTGCAGCTCTGCTCCTCCACAGAAACTCTTCCCACGTGTTCCTCCTGGCCGCCTGCCATCCACTCCTCCTGGTGTGATGAAGGAACATCTTCAGGACCTTCTCCACTCAGGAACTCAGAACCTGTGATGGGCTGGGCCACCAGCTGCATGACCCTAAACACACCTCAGGCTGGGAGATGGGGGTAGAGGGGTCCACTTGGCTAAGGGGAGTAGGCAGCCAGGGCATCTGGGGATGACTGTGGGGGATCGTAAGGAATGAGGGTGCAGAGAGCCTTGCTTTATTGTACCTCTTCCCTGATTCACAGAGCTTAAGAAGGGTCATGTATAGATGGGTTGAGCTGGGCTCGGAGGAATCTCACCTTCATTCACGAGGTACCGTGCATAGATGAGGAGCCAATGGCGGTATTCATGGCTGGACTGCAGGCTGAGTGCTGCTGCAACCTGATTCTCCAGGTAGGCCAAAGTGGTCTCTTGCTGCACTACGTGAGGCATGGAGAAGAGGCGGGCAGCCTGCCTTCCTGAACTGCAAAGATCAGCAGAGTGTGTATGGTGAGGCCGCGGGTACTGCCTAGGGGCAGAAGGCTGCTGCCATGTGCCCAAGGGCACCAGCCAAGAGCTGGCAGGACCACAGGGGCCAGAGCTGCCTAGGCCTCCCCTGAGGCCCACCAGCCAGTGTGGTGGCAGGCACAAGCGACTCCACACTGGCCTAGCTGCTCCCCATCGCAGCCACGGGCCTCCTGGGCACCTGGCCTCCCAGGAACACCCTGCCCTGATTGCTCTAGACCAGCTGCGGCCGCCGGCAGGGACCCTGACACAGGGGCAGCACCTGGCCTCCCAGGAACACCCTGCCCTGATTGCGCTAGACCAGCTGGCCGCCGGCAGGGACCCTGACACAGGGGCAGCACCTGGCCTCCCAGGAACACCCTGCCCTGATTGCGCTAGACCAGCTGCGGCCGCCGGCAGGGACCTTGACACAGGGGCAGCAGCTCAGCAGTTCTAAGACATCAACTGTCATGGGTCCCTTTGACCCCAGCCCCTATCTTGCACCTGCCATCCAGGTTTCTGAGATGCCCACGCCCCCCAACTCAAACTACTGCCCAATACAAGTATCCATGACCCATAGCACTCCGGGACAACCTGGGCTGTTGTGACAGGGCTGTTGTGTATTGCCGACACGGGCCCACAACCCTCAGCACCCCTGGCCTGCCAGTGGGCACAGGGGTGGACAATGAGGCCAGGCTAAGCAAGGCTGTGCTTACACCAACCAGAGCCACTTGTTAGGGGCTGGACTGCCAAATGGTGGCCATGGTACTCAGGTCACGTACTTGGAGGTGCGGCCCTGAATGATGGCTAACGGTCCCGAGCACAGCATGGCATCTTGGGATGGCAGGCTGCTCCTGAAGTCTGCACACTGGGCCAGTGAGTCTTGCTTGTCAGAAATCAGGTTCCTAGGAAAGCAGAGATAGAAGCCAAGCTCAGAAAAACCAGGAGGCCTAACAGAGGAGGCTAGCAACGAGGCCACAGCAGAGTAAGCACCCTGCTTGTCACAATGTCAGAAAGCCAGTTCAGGCTGAGTGTCACTGTGTGACAGACAGATGCCCCATCAATGACAGGTTTCATAGTAACTGGCCTGGTAAATTACTGTCTCAAAGGAAAAATGACAATGAGGGTTGCTGACAGGGCTCTCGGGGTGAGCATTTCAGATGCATGGTCTCGGTTCCTGATGACCGAGGCTGTCCTCAAGGAGGGGCTCACACTGCCTGGGCCCTGGCCAGCTGCTGAAGAAGCCCACTCTTGTTCCCCCCAAGTCTCTACAGTGGCCCCAGGCAGTCAGCTCTCACAGCACCTCTGGACCCTTCACATCTTTGTTAGGAAAAGGTCTTTCCATTCTTTTTAAAAATCGAGTACCTTGGTAAACTCTCTTCAAATACAAAGATGTCAATAAAGACTCTACACTTGTCTTCTTAATCAGCTTTCTTGCATTATACATTATAGTAAACACATATACTGTATCATTACACATACGCATGATACAGTTTTCTTGCAATCCGCCCAATGCCCTCACATAATAGTTTCCTACATGTGCTGCGTGAATATGTGGATGCACGTTATGTAGTACGTTATGTGCAAAAATATATGGTACAACATGTTTTGCAACTTGAGGGGAAAGAATACTAGACAGCAATTGTTGGAGTTTTTTTTTTTTTTTTTTTTTTTAAACTCAACAAAGAACTCTCAGGGTGAGCACAGAATTGTGCTTGACAACACTTAACAGAAAAGAGGCTGGAAGGACCAAAGGTACAGACAGAAGGGAAGAATTTCTTAAAGAGTGGCTGGTACACAGTTCACATACATCAGACATCTGGTTAAGATCTTTGATGTATAAAGAGGTTTTACAGATACAGAAAAGAACTCCAAGTTCCAAAACGAGTAGTGGAAAGGTACAGATACTCCACTTACGGGGGGGTCACTGTGCAACCTTACTAGATGGCAGAGGGAGCAGGAAAGGCCACTGCACCTATTCAGCTTACAGAAACTGAATGGTGTGAAGGTGACTCCCCTCTGCTGACGGCCGTAGAGGTGAGTCTGAAAATGTTTCAAGAACCCTAAAAATGTTCACATTCCGTGTTCAAAAAACCCAGTGGAGCATGTCCTGGTTGGTTTGAGCTCCATCTTCCCTGGCAGACAGACAAACACGCGCCCAATGCTCAGGAGACGTGGAAGCAGGGTCAGGTCAGCCCAACCACCAGGACCTGGGCCTGGCTCACTCTCCGGCTCCCAGAGCAGACTGCCACTCTCTCAGGAGGTGTACCGCCAGGGGGCAGCTTGCTTACCATGTAGAAAGAGATGGATTGAAGCAATATGCCTTCCCATCTGATAGGTTCATCACTGGAATCCCATGCTGTGTTAGCAAGATTTGTGACACCGTCATATCACTTCCTGAGGGACAGCAAAGGAGTAGGTTCCAGATGTGCTCTGACCAGACCAAGTACTTGTACCAAAGAGAAATCTGAACCATAGCTCCCCACAGCCTAGCAACAGGCCCCTCCACACTGACTTTGAAATGAGGGAGTTGCTGCTCTATGATGTGTGTATGCCATCCTCACTGTCACCCACTAAGCTCTGGCACCTCTCAAGGGCCCATTCAAATGTGCTCCAGGAGACACAGGGTCTGCTTCGGCCGTGTAATGTCCCACCTGCCTCAGTGAGAGCAGTGGGAGTCCTCCCGCAACAGAACCGAGACTCGGTCGGCCCTGCCCAGCTCCGCTCGCAGTGGACCGGGGTGGCCCGTTCCCAGGTTACCTGCCAAGATGGAATGTAGAGACTCTTCTTTCACCACCACCACTTGTTTGTGAACATTCCTGGGGGGAAACAGGAAACACCTGACTCTCCAACCTTAGAAAATACGTCAGAGTGTGCTGAGGACACCAACCTCAACACCACCGCACTTCCCTGTGCAATCCTAGGTGTGGGCTCCCAGGTGTGACCCCCGATGGGAGAGGCGCCCCGGGATGCAGAGGCTTCTGCTCCCCACGTGCCTATGTGCTCCCTTTGCAGATGTCTAAAGCAGAGGGCCCAGGCAACAGAGCACCGAAGCCCACCACTTCTGCCACCACTACCTACACGCTCTGGAAGAAGTCAGCTGGCACAGAAGCCATGCTAGAGTCCAGCTAAGAGCCTGCTTCTCATGAAGCTGGGACCAGGATCTGTGACCTGGAACATACAATTAGCCACTCCTATCACATGGAGCTGCTGCCTCACTGCTTCTGGTGCACTTCCTTGACCCCTCACCCAGCACAGGGGCCAACACAGTGTTGTCTGGTTTCTCAGGGCCTCCTCCCAGGCATTAAGTCTCACCAGGTCAGAGGGACTGAGAGCGTGTCAGCTGGGTTCCTTGCAGTGAGAAGGCTTAAGCAATGGGACCTGCAGCCTTTCTGCCTACCTGGACCCCACCCCACCCTGGGCTTGCCCTCTCACCAGACAGACAGTGTAGCCGCAGCTGTGAGCGCCATGACGTAGGAGCCTGTGCAGTGCAAAGTGGAGATCGGGGACGGCAGGAGGATAGGAGGAAGGAGCCGGCGGCCACAGGTGGAGAACACCGACAGCATCCTCTTTTCACAGGCAACACACACTACGTCACTGAAAAGGCAGAGAGACAGGAGTTACTGGATGTCTGGGAGTTGCAGCTGAGGCAGCAGCTCCTTCTGAGACAGGCAGAACCTTCACTGCCCAGGCTCTGCCTGTGCCCAGCAGGACAAGCCCGGTTTGCAACATCGCCTTCCTCTGAGCGGGTGTGGCCTAAGGGAGGGGACAGGACAGGACCTGCCATGAGGACAGAGGCTGCTGAGGACCAGGGATGGCAGAAGCCTAGCAAAATGTCTGATTAGAAAGAGACACGGTTGTGTTGCTCAAGCTTTCCTGAGCTCACACTAGCACTGGCTTAGGTCATGTGTCCCTCGGAGGACTAACCGCATCTGACAATTACCCAGGGAAGGGTGCCTTGTTCACCAGACAAGCCCCACACAACAGTCTCCTACCTACAACTACCCATACAGGTCTTGGGAAGATCTCTGCGAAGACAGGCTAGGAAACTGCCGGGACGACAGGGCACATCTCCACCAGGGACACCAGAAGAGTACTAAGAAGGCCATTACAGGTTAGGGTGGGAGAGGTGTGTCTGCTTCACGAGACAATGTGTGTTCTGAACTGTCGAATGTCTCTCCTTGAGCGACTGCAGGCCCTTCAGATGTGTCTCAGCATGAGCAGGCTGCTGTCCTCCTAGTGAGAGCCAGAGGCCTCGGGTGAAGCCTGAGCCTCAGACCTCAGGCAGCTGAAGCAGGTGAACAGCCCAGCCCAGGCAGGTCCTGGTCCTAGCAGACCACACAGAGCCCTCCTTCATACCAGTTTGATTCTGCTCAGCTAGTACCTGCGGTCTGCACTGGAGGCCCTCCCCGCCCCAGGCTTACAGCAAGAAGGTCTGCTAACAGCTCTGTCAACTGGCTGTCCAAGAGACACTGTGGTTTTCTCGCCTCTGAAAAGAGAGAGGCAAGTGGGAGTTTTTTGTTTATAAAGTGTCTGTTTTGAGAGTATGAGTGAGAGAAAACTTTTGAGTAGGACCTGGCAGCAGAGAATTCTCTGTGGTGAGATGACTGAACTCAGTCTGCTCATCTCTAAGCATCTGAGCCTTCCTCAAGCCAGCCCACAGCAGAGAAAGCCATCATTCTTGCCTGCAGCATCAGGGCAGGTCTACAGGCTGCCAGGGCTGGGAAGAACTGAACAGGCTGGCCACGCCTCCCAACAGCTGCTGTGTCACCGTATGGGAGGCCATGGTAACGTCCCTCACATCCAGCTGGTATGCATTACCTGCCCTGAGACCACAGAAGGAGAAGGGGGCCCAGAGCAGCACCCAATAGGCCTCTCTATCCTTTACAAATCTGCTGACCCTAAGGAGGGCAGTGAGAGAGGAACAGAATGGAGTGTTTCTTCTAGGCCTAACCCCACAAACTCAATCAAAGCCCATGGAAACCCTGACCTAGAAGATAAGGCCAAGTGTTTGCAGACACTTGTAAAAGCACCTTACATGTAAACCCATGATAAATCATAAAGGGACTCATTAAAATAAACGTATGTAAGACAGCCATCTTTGTAAAATCTGTGTAAGAGCATCTAACACATGGTCCTTAACCAGGGGCCATGAGCCTCTTAAGGAAGTGATGCAAACACTGGGCCGTCTCTCCAGATAAAAGCAGGTGCAGGGCAGAGCTGCATGCAGCTCTAAGGGTTCACGGCTCCAAGGCCCACAGGAAGACACTAGGTTGCTAACCTCTGAAGTGAGGTCTCCCCTCAAAATTCAGAATTGGGGAAGGACTGGGCTGGAGACTTAAGGGGCAGTCAGAAACCTGCCTGACCTCCTTGGACAAATATCTAGGGTCAAAGAATTAAGCAGCTCTCAATCTGGAACCCATGACTTTGGGAATCCAGTGCAGACACAAGAGCCAGACGACTTGGTTTCAGATTCTGGCTTGGGTCACCCTATATGCCTCAGTTTCCCATCTGTAACCTGGGAATAATAATGCCAACTTGGCTGAACTCTGGACTCATCTCAAGGACTGAGATGGCAAATGCACAAGCTCGGCCTGAAGCACGGCCGGCGTGAGCTCTCTAAGGGAGCCAGCATATGGGGGGCAGTGCACCTCCCCCCAGAGAGGGCCACGTCCCAGGACAACAGTGCCACACAGCACAAGCTCACCTGAAGCATGGCCGGCGTGAGCTCTCTACAGAAGCCAGCATATGGGGGGCAGTGCACCTCCCCCCAGAGAGGGCCACGTCCCAGGACAACAGTGCCACACAGCACAGTATGGAAAAAGCTGTGCTTGGCTAAGGCCCCTCTGCCCTTACCAGCTGCCAGCGGCAGTGAGAATCCGGCTGGTGAGCACCGTCTCCCACTCCTTCCCTTCCCGGTTACACTTCAAGCGACTCAGCTTCACACCCCCCACGGCTGTCACGTCGTTGTCCACCTCAATGTACATGGAGGGGTCGGAGCTCACCTGGAGGGAGGAAAGGGAACACTAAGTCCTTCTAAGGGGCAGTGAACCCACTCAGATGGTGACTTGGAGCCAGATCCTGAGGCATGTGGAAGGCAGAGAGGCAGACAGAGCTAGCTGGCCGGCAGAAGAAGGTGATGGGCAGGAGGCAGAAACAGGGCTGGACAGGAGGCAAGAGGTCTGCATGCACTGGTTTCTCATGCATGTGGCCAAACAGACAAAGAGAATCCGCACCAGAGCTACAAGACCTCAAAAGTCTCATAATCCAACCACCTCATTTTACAGGTGAGAACATGTCGTTTCTGAGAAGGTAAGTGACTTGCTCAAGAACACACAGTAGGACTTCTGGCCAAAACGGTAGCTTAGTCAGATGCACTACACTGATCCTCTATAGCAAAGACCCGAGAAATTAAGTGAAATACATACTGAAGATAATCCTGGAAGCCTGAGCATCAAATGAAAGAATAAAGAATTAGACTCAACACTGGAGAAGAAATGACTGAAAACAGCAGACAAGGTGACAGAGCAGAGGGTCTGGCCAGCAGGGTTGGCACATCAGGTCCATCCTAAGACAAAGGTAGCAGCAGTCCTGGGTGAGAAGCACAGAAGACAGCTTCACAGAGTCCTCACCAGGGCAAAGAGTAACTGTATAGACAAAGCTGTAGGGCAGCGAGCTGCCACCTGCTGGCTGTAGACAACAGGAAGAAGTCGGGTGTCCCACTGGAGACTAGAGAAGCGTGCTCCCTCTCCCCTAATCCTTGTGGTGATTAGTGGCATAAACCCACATGTCCCTGTAGCCCCAACTGCCTAGGATCAATATACCTCCGACTTAGCCTGGACTGCCTCCGCTCTGCCCCGCCAACCCCACCGACCAGCAGCAGGCCACTTCAGCACAAGAACAGCTACTCACCTTACCCTTCCTGCTTGCCAACCCGGCAGAGCAGTGGAGAACAGTCCAGTGTAAAGTTGGCCTCTTGTCCCACCCCTCTCACATGCCCACCCAGCTCCTCTCCTGCAAGACACAGTAGTAGTGCAATGCCACGTACACGTCTGCTACTCACCTCCCTTCCACCACTCGCCTTTTCCCACCACCTGGCAAGGGGCAATGAGTGCTTGACAGCACATAGGCCTGCCTTTCACTCCCAACCCTCCTACCATGTGAGCACCAATGGCAGCAGGACTGTGCATGACTCCACCTCCTACTCACCGTACCCATCTGACAGGAGACGGCAAATGTGCACTCACTAGGCAGAAACACCTGCCATACCTGCCACCCCACCCACTCAGTGAGTACCACTGCCTGTTCCTGAGCCACCAGACCAACCACAGACAGGACAAGCAAACAGAGGCTTTTGCTCACACACCCAGCCGCTACCTCACCCACCCAGAGACAGGAGGCAAGTGATGCAGTGTGGCCCAACTAGTGACCAGAGTAGCATGGCTATCTTGCCTGTCTGGATACATCAAAACAAAGCAAAACAAAAAATGAGGATGCAGCAAAAATACAGTTAATAAATAATAACATCTTAATGCCTTGGAAACAACAGACAATTATCAAATCTCCTAAAGAAGCGGGACAAGATGGCTCCAGCCAGGAAACTTCCCTGAGGAAAAAATGATAAAGCAACTACTGGATAAGGAATAAAAAAAGACTTATATATAGGACCCTCCAAGAGATCAAGGAAAATACAGACAAAATCAAGGAAAACGTAGATAAAACTCTAGTTCAGGAAAATAATATAACAACAAAACATCAAAATAAATAGAAAATTAGAAATCATACAAAAACAGCAACTACAGATTTAGATGATAACACTATAGTTTTAGAAATAGATAACACAATAAAAGAACAAAGGAATAGAATTGAATCAACAGAAGCCAGGCTCAATGAAATAGAAGACAAATCCCTTGATTGTTAGAGGAACAGTCACAGAAAAGTATGAACAAAGACTAAGAGTTATGTGGATACTATTAAGAGTAATAATTGATGTGTGATTGGAATTTCACAACTCACTGGTATTGATTCCAACTCACAGCTACCCTGTAGAACAGAATAGAACTGCCCCACAGGGTTTCCAAGGTTGTAAATCTTTTTGGAAGAAGACTCTCTCATCTTTTTCCCACAGAGCAGCTGGTGGGTTTGAACCACTGACCTTTTGGTTAGCAGCCAAATGTTTTAACCACTATGCCGTCAGAGCTCCAGTTTCACAATAGGAAAAGACAAAAAAAAAAAAAAAAAAGCATAGATAAAATTAGCAAAGATTTGCTGGCAAAAACTGTAATATCATGGATAAGAAAATAATCATCCAAGAAGTTCAATGAACTCTAAAAAGGATAGAGCTCAAAAGAAAATCACCAAAATATATCACACTTAAATTTTCTAAAATCAAACACACAATTCTGAGAGCAGCTCATGAAAACCAAAACGTTACCAACAAAGAAGAAACAGTAAGACCAAGATCTGATTTCTTGGCAGAAACCACCTAGCTAAGAAGGGAATGGAATGACATATATAAAAACCTGAAATAAAAAAACCTGTCAACCAAGAATTATATATCCCATTGAGGAAAGTAGCAGGGTACAAGAACATGAATGAAGAGAAATAAAGAAAGCAATATCATTTAAATTAACCATCCAAACAATGAAGTACTTAGCAAGAAATCTAACCAGAGAAATAAAAGGCTGATAGAAAGAAAACTACAACCCACTATTACAAGAAACCCAAAGAAACCCAAAGTGGAAGACTATACCATGCTTATGGATAGGAAAATTAACACTGTGAAAATGTCAACGCTATCCAAAGTGATCTACAGATACAACGCAATCCCCATCCAGACTCCATCATCTTTCTTTAAAGAGATGGGAAAATTAATCACCAACTTTATATAGAAAGGAAAGACGCCCTGGATAAGTAAAACACTATTAAAGAACAAAAAAGCAGGAAGCCTTACACTCCTTATCTCAAAACCTACTATACAGACACTGTAGTTAAAACAGCCTGGTACTGAAACAGTATAGTCATTCAGACCAATAGAACAGAACTGAGAACCCAAAAATAAATCTATCCACCTATGGACAGCTGATCTTCGACAAAGGGCCAAAACTCATTAAATGGGAAAGGAATAGTCTCTTTAACAAATAATGCTGGCAAAACTGGATATTCATTTGCAGAATAATGAAACAGGAAATGTATCTCATGCCATATTAAAAAAAACCCCTCAAGTTGGATCAAAGATTTGAACATAAAGACCATCAAAGAAAATATAAACACAAACTCAGGGGTCCTAATTCCAGACATAAACACAAAATTGAATATAACTAAAAATGCACACATACCAGAAGACAAAATATGATGACTGGGACCTCTGAAAAATTAGACACACATGTGCATCAAAACTTGGAAGGAAGGTTAGGCAATCTACTTCTGTAGTGATATCACCTTGGAAACCCAATGAGAGATCACTATGAATTGAAATAGACTCGATGGCAGTGAGTTAGTGCATCTAAAGATTTCACCAAGAGTAAAAAGAGAACATACAGACTGGGAAAAAAAATTGGCAACACCGTATCAGACAAGGGGCTAACTGCTAAAATTTATAGAAAACTTCAATACCTTAACAACAAAAAAACAAATAATCCAATTACAAAACAGACAGAGGACATGAACAGACACTTCACCAAAGAGGATATTTAGGCAGTTAACAAACGTGTGAAGAAATGCTTGCAATCATTAGCCATTAGAAAGATGTAAATGAAAACAACGAGGCATCATCTCACCCTAGCACTAATAGTGAAGTTCATAAAAACAGAAAACAACAAAAGCTAGCAAGGGTGTGGAGAGACTAGAACACTTACATACTGCTGGTGGACTGTAAAATGTTGCAAGCACTGTGGAAATGGTATGGTACTTCCTTTAAAAGCTGTAAACAGAAATACCATATGATCCAGCAACCAGGTATATATCCTGGAGAAATAAGATCCATGACACAAACAGATACATGCACACCCATGTTCAGCAAGGGTCAAGGATTTCATTTTACTTGGATCCATAATCAACGCCCATGGAAGCAGCAGTCAAGAAATCAGATGACGTACTGCCTCGGGCAAACTGCTGCTAACGATCTCTTCAAAGTGGTTAAGAACAAAGACATCTTTGAAGACTAAGGTGCACCTGACCCGTAACTGCATACGCATTTGAGAGCTGGACAATGAATAAGGAAGGTCACAGAAGAACTGATAGAATTGAACTGTGGTGTTGGTGAAGAATACTGAATATACCATAGACTGCTAGAAGAATGAACAAATCTGTCTTGGAGGAAGTATAACCATACAACCAGAATGTTCTTGAGGTGTAACAATGGCCAGATTTTGTCTCTCACACTTTGGTCATGTTGTCAAAAGGGACCAGTGTCTAGAGAAGGGTACCATGCTGGGGAAAGTAGAGGGTCAGCAAAAAAGGGGAAGACCCTCAATGAGATGGACTGAGGTTATAATGGCTGCAACAATGAGCTCAAGCACAGCAACACTTGTGAGAACGACACAGGACCAGAGAGTGTTTCATTCTGTTGTACAGAGTTGCCGTGTGTCAGAACTGACTCAACGGCACCCAAGAACAACGATGCGCAACATAAGCAAAGATGCTGAAGAAGAAAACATAGTAGACCTCACACTTCCCAATCTCAAAACCTACTATACAACCACAGTAGTGAAAACAGCGTGGTATTGGTACAACAATAGACAAACAGACCAGTGGAACAGAACTGAGAACCCAGAAATAGATCCATCCATCTATGGACAGCTGATCTTTGACAAAGGACCAAAAGTGTCATTAACAAATGGTGCTGGCAAAATTGGATATCCACTTGCAGAAAAATGAAACAAGATCCATACCTCACACTATACACAAAAACTAACTCAAGATGGATCAAAGACTTAAATGTAAACCCAAAACCATAAATTTCACCAAAGATAAAATAGGGGCAAACCTAGGGGCCCTAATTTGT